CCAGTCCAACTGCGACAGATGTACCCAAAGGGGTCGTTAGCAGGCCCACAGAGGCCATAATAGTAAACTTCCACAGATCACGGGAAGAGGGTGTCATGCTGCAACTCTTTCCCTCTTTTCGCTTAGCGGGCACCTCAATTTCAATGTATATATGTTGACTGTCAGGCAAGGGATTTTGTGGGGCATGTGCGTCCCAGGGGTAAATACCCATGTTGATATGGTTAGTCCCTGATGCCAAAAACAGGAGGGTAGCACCTTACTAGCCACTACAAGTGCCCACAATGTTACAGGAGAACTTGGGGCAGGGGACACGAGGTCCCTCCGGGTGGCTAGCCTACAGATGGCTCTTGATGACTCAATAGAGGTATATGTTAGCCACTTAATGGCATATTACATCGTACCCCTATGACCGGCTGCTCATTGGGTTGGATGGTTATACTGATGTGGGGACTGATGTGCCGGATAGGACCACAAGGAACAAGGTGACACTTCAAGGACCCTACGACAGACTTGTGCTTAGACATTATTTCAACGAATACGGGTGAAACCGCCCACTCTTTCATGACCACATGTGCGCTCTAGAGGCTGCCTTTCTCTATACCCCCATACCCATACCCCAGCCCATCAGCTAACCCACAGCTTTACGACATTATATAAAAAAAAATTACAACACTGCACAGGCTTTGGCTCCGCATGACCTCCCCATGGGATGTTTATTGGAGGTTAAATGTAACGGCTTCCCATTCCATTCCACGTTACACTCTCTACCCCAAGAGTTTCTGTATATACTTTATTTTGTTTTTCCCATGTTTCCCCAAGTTAGCCACATCCCTTTCTCCCAGGTAACAGTAGATTTCTATACCAACATTCCCTCAACCACGGTCCCCAAACAATCCACGAAAACCACTGTAATTGGCTCTGATGAAGGGGTCACCCTTGCTCATTATACTGGTCCTACAACAACCTATGTAGCACTGACGCTCTACTTAGACTATGACTCATCACTTTAAATGCCTCTCGCTGAATGTTAATGGGCTAAACAGCCTTTTTAAGAGACGCTCAGCGATTCAAGAAATTCACCAGTCGAGGGCAGCCATCATATGCTTACAAGAAACCCATCTATGCAAACGTAATCCCTCCGCCTTCAAGCAGGCCAAATACCCCCAAATTTCCATGCTTTTTCCCCACAAAAATCAAAGGGAGTA